TTAAGGGACGAATTATTATTATTATTATTATTATTTTACGATTTTGTATGTGTGTGTGTGTGTGTGTGAGAGAACATGTCGTAAAATGAAAACTTGAATATTTCAAATCGTTTTTCTTCTTTTTTTTTTTTTTCGGTATTTCACATTTCGAGAAAAAATTCTCTTAACGGTTATTTCATTAGCCCGAAGGGAAAAATTCGAACGATTTCTTACTGAAATTTAGGTAGGCCCCCCCACACACCCCCACAAAATTTTTTTTCCGGTTTTCTTTCTTCTTTCTCACTCTCTCTCCCACACACAAACAATGTGTGTGACCGTACATAAAATTTTGTTTTTTGTTTGTTTTCATTAACACTTTCTCTTTCTCTTTCTTCTAGAAAAAAGGTTAAATAAGGTTAGGATAAAAAAATTGCACGAGGGATGTGTAAATAATTTATTTTTCCTACAACGTCTCCATTTTTTTTTTTTTTTTTTTTTTTTTTTTTTTTTGTCCATGACAAATTTCCGTTACGATTCATTGATTTATTTACGTAACATTAACGGTGCGCAATAACATTATTATTATTTAAAACAAAACAAAAAAAAAAAAAAAAACGTTTTCGGTACCTTTAATAACCGGAAAGGGGGGGGTGGGGGGGGGAGGAAACAATTTTTTTTTTTTTTTTTTTTTGATAATGAATTCTATTTTTTCCACATCTTATCGTCCGAAAAAAGTTACGAAATTTGTTTTTTTTTTGTCTCTTGATTAATCATATCATTATTATTATTATTATTATTATTATTATTCATAACGTTTTTTTTTTTATGAATGATTGAGATCAGTCTACCGGAATAATTTTTTTTATTTTTTATTTAAATCTAAAAAACGTAGACAAATTTTTTAAATTTTGAATTGTTTAAAAATAACCGACGTTTTCGAAATTTTCTTTTTCCTATTTTATTTTTTTTTTGGACAATGACGGCCCTTTTCTCTCTCTCTCTCTCTCTCTCTCTCTCTCTCTCTCTCTAGATATATTTCCAAAAGAAATGTAAATTATTTTAGCAATATCCGGTCGTGAGGATTTATTTATAACGATTGTGTAAATTTTTCCGAACGACGAATCGACATTTTGTTTTTTGTTTTTTTTTTTGTTTTTTCCTTCCATTTCGACTTCCGGTCATTTACATCGATACATACTTTTTAAAAGTTTTACTTTTTCGATTATTATTATTATTATTATTATGGTCACTCTTAAATAGGACAAGGCCCATTATTTGTCGGAATTTTTAAGGATTTATTCCAGGTTTCTACCCGACGATTCCTTAGGGATGAATTTCGGTGGTGCTATTCCTGCTAATATTTTCCGAAGAATGTGGGCTTATTATTATTATTATTATTATTATTATTATTATTATTATTATTATTATTATTATTATTATTATTATTATTATTATTATTATTATCATTATTATTATAATTGATTTCGATTGGAAAATAATTAATGTAAAATACGTTTTACGACATTAAATTAAATTTTATCCCGATTTTTTTTTTTTTTTTTCGATTATTACTCTCGCGAAGTTTTCAATTTCGAAATTTGGGAGGAAAAAAAAGAAAAAAGAAAAATTCCAGGAAGTTGATAACCAAAAAAAAAAAAAATTTTTTTCTTTAACTTTTTCCGCCTACTACGAACCAACAATCAAAATCACATCCGGTTTCGTTTCGTTTCGTTTCGTTTTGTTTTCTATTTTTCCTCCTATTTCGTTTAAACATTTTTTCGGCATCAAAATTAAATTTTAATAATAATAATAATAATAATAATGATGATGATGATGATGATAATTTTTCACTTCCTTTTTTGGCTGAGAAATTTTTGAACAACTAATAAATAAATAATTAATTAATATAAATTAAGATTTAATTTACGTCGTTGTAAAATATAAAATCAAGTTTGAATAATAATAAATTAAATTTTATTATAAAAGTTGTCCGGCTAAATAAGTTCGGCTTATTTATTATTATTATTATTATTATTATTATCATTATCATCATCATCATCATCATCATCATTATTATTAAACTGAAAGAAATTTCTTTTTATTTAAAAATTTTTTTTTTTCGTTACCTTCTCGTTTTTCCCCGTTCTTTGTTTTTTTTTTTTTTTTTTATGAAAAGTAAAAATCGAGGTTCCGCCCTTATTAAATGTTTCATGACTTTCACGAGGGTGGAAGATAAACCTGACACGAATTTCAAGGTTCGAAAAAAAAAGTCAAAAGTTTGTTATATCAATATCATTATTATTATTTTTTTAATCTCACTCCCTTTCAAATAATCGATAAATAATCGCAAGAACAAAAATTAATTTAAGAATATACCGGAAATAATAATAATAATAATAATAATAATAATAATAATAATAATAATAATTTGATATTTTTAGGGACGAAAAAAAAATTTAAATGAAGTAAATAATTAGGGGGAACGGGGGGAGAGGGGAGGAAATGATCGATTACGATTTAAAGAAAAAAAAAAAATCGCGAAAATTTAAATTCGATTCCAGATTTTTATTTAAAAAAAGGTTTAATTTATTTACTTAGAATTATTTCCAATCGAATCGAGAAAAGGGTAAAAAAACAAAATTCGGGATGATTTCCTGGATTCGGGACTCTCAAAAAAAATCTGATAAAAAAATTGATTCGGTCGTTAAACGTTATAAACAAAATTAATTTAATTTTTAAATGGAAAATTTGAAAGGGGGGGGAGGAAAACATCGTTTTTCGTAGTTCGTAATTTTTTAAGGGTAGTAAAGGTTTATGATGAGGGTAGTGGCGGTGGCGGAAGTTGAGATTTTTATAACCTTTCGAAACCGTACCTATTTTT